AATAACATAAATAAATCATAAATACAAAACCAAAATAAATTAATAACTAACACGTAATTTATTTTATTTATTAACTTGTATATATATATATATTTTTTTGAAAAATTAAAATAAAAGGAATTAAATTAAATATCAAATAAAATCAACTAAATCCAACAATTATTAATAGTGCATAATTTAAATTTTGGCCTGACTCTCAAAAGTCCCCAGCAAAGTCACCAAGCTATCATAACATATCGATACGAAGACTCAATCATTAGACATAAAAATTTACAAGTTGTGAAAAACACAAAGAGTCGCTACTAATCTTTTTTAAGGGTGTGATTTGCCACTCAAAAATTTTATCTTTTTAATAAAAATAATGAATTTATTAAAAAGAAAATTTTGGTTTACGAAAACATAATCAAGTTCATGAGTCAGTTATGCATGGGGAAAGATTAGTACCCCCACAGCACTCATAAAATTGGTACTAATTAATCATATGCTATTTATAACTTGAACAAAAACGGTTTTTGTATAAAATTTAATTACAATTCCCTTTATTTTGTGAAAAATAAAATTAGTTTAAAAAATCTTTTATTTAAGAATATTAAGAAAATATTAAAATTAAAGAAATATCTTCAAAGTCTCCAACATAAAGGCAAAATTCGAATATAGTCTTTCTATTTAATATTTATCATAACATTCTTTCTAAAAATTAATAAAATAATATTTTTTATAAATGATAATTATTGATGACTCTTCAATATCTAGATAGAGTACCTATCAATTATATTTCATGGAATACTATTTTAATTTTATTTATTCATAACTAAAAATTAAAAAAAAAACTTTTGATGTAAAAAAAAAAAAATTAATAACATAATTAATATTAAACGACCATAACTAAAGCAAACATATATACGCATTATAAATAAGTACATTAATTAAAAAAACAAAACATATATATATGATGATCAAATGTAAATTTAAAAATAGGGTTTTCAAATATAAAAAAAATCACTTGGACTCTTCAACATCTAGGTAGAGTTTAAGTATGAATTTTATATTTAAAAATCCCATCCGATTTTTTTTATATTTTACATTTTTATTTTAACAAAATGAATTATTTATTTATTTATTTATTTATTTATTTAAACTGTGGAAATGTATGAAAATTCTTAATGAAATAAAATTTCTTAAATACCCCAATATTTAGGCAACATTTGGAAACAGATTATTCATAAAAGATTTTTATGCAAATCCTTAGAAATTTAAAATGAATTTGAGATTTTAGGTAGATTCGGGTTTAAATTTTAAGAATTTATGAACTTCTCTAAAAGTCTTCAACATCTAGGTAAACTTTCAGAGTAAGCTCATTTTCATAATTCTTCTAAAAAAGATTTTTTTTATATTCTTATATACTTTGTATATATTTATTCTTTCATTAAAATCATCATCATCATCATCATCATCATCATCATCATCATTATTATAATACATAAATTTAAAGTGCATAAAAATAAAATATATCAAACATAGATTTAAGCACGAAAGCTTAACTTAAAAAGATCATGATAATCCAAATAATAAAGAAATTAAACTCGCAATTAAACTAAAACATCATGAATATATATATATACATATATATACTTATATATGCATAAGATTCAAATTATACTCAAACAACATGAGAAAAATATGCATGAGCATAAATGGTATAACAAATGTATGAAAATGAATCTTAAAAATTGAACAAACTTTCAACCACACAATTTAAGTCTTTGTTTATAAAAAATTTTATTACTTAAAAGCCTAAACAGCATATCAAAATATAGACTTCTAAAATTTAATCCTTAAGTTACCTTTGGTAAACTCTTTACCAAGATGAACCAATCAAGATTGGGTTTCTCTAAAGAATGAATAAAGCTTGGTCTTGAAAGTTCTTCCCTATCATTTTTATACATGAATGTAGCAAAGAAAGGAAAGAAAAATAGCATAACCAGCAAAATAAACAAGATATAAAGATGACAAACAAGAAAAATGCAAAAAAAGATGGGAAAAAAATACAAAGTAATAAACCCCAAGCTTTCACAGGGAAAGAGAACCATTTTACCTTTTTTTATTTCTTTTATCTTTCTCTTTCTACTACCTTTATTTTCTTCCTTTTCCATGTTTCGCTTTTTTTTTTGTTATATTCTTTTGCCTTTTCTTTCACATTTTTTGCTTCATTTTTCTTAGTAACCACCCAGTTTTTGCACTATGTGCCCAGTTTTTGGTTCATTTGCTTTCCTTTTCTTTTCCTCTTTTCTTATTCTATTCAACATTTTTTGTTTTGATTTTCTTTCACCTTGCGCTACTTCCATTTCTTCCCTTAGCTATTTTGCTCTTCCTTTTTTTTTTTTTTTTATGTTGTTGCCCTCTTCCTTCCCTACTTACAATTTTTGTTCCTTTTTTGCTAGTTCTTTTTTTTTATTATTTTTTTTGTTCTTTTTCCTTCACCTTATGCCCCTTTTCTTGTCTTTTTAGCTTTTCCTCCAACCAATGCCCATGTCCTATGCACGTTCACCCTAATCGTCCTTTTTTTTTTGTTTGGTATTTCTCCTACCTTTTTTTTTCAATAACCTTTCTCTTTCTTTCTTTCTTTTTTTTACAAGCTTTCTCTTTTTTTTTTGGGCCTCTCTTCCTTTTCCACTTTTCTTCAACAGTCCCTCCTAAACTCTAGAAAAAACTTTTACCAAAAGCCTCCATTTTTTATCCTCCCCAAATCTTTCCTCACCAAGTCTCAATACTCTTTGTCTCTTTCTAATTTTTCTATTGCACCTATACCTCTTTTTCTTTGCCAGCCACTAACCCCTTGTCTTTTCTTTGTTGTAGGTGGCAGCAACCTATCCGCTGGATGTTCCCTCCGTACTTGCCTCTTTGTTTCAAAAAAAAAAAGTTTTGTTTCTTGATGAATATAGGCCCTTAGGTTAAGTTACATTCAAAGGCTAAAGTTTCTTTCTTTCTTTTTTTTTCAAGGAACAAGCTTTAACCGTTTGATCAAAATTCAAAGGAGATTCAATGGTTTACATTATTCACTACAAATGTTGAATTTTATGACCTCCAAACCCATGCAAAGACCATTTTACCCCTAATACAAAGTTTTTGGTATTTAAGCCATTTTCTTAGAAATCAATGTTCCCATACTCATTTTTAGGATTTTAAATCATCAAAAATCATGAAATATTATAAAATTGATATCTGAAAAGTTTCATGAAAATCTGAGCTCTGAAAAGCCAAATTACGAAAATACCCTTATAAGGGTATTTTGGTAATTTCATACTCCCCAGGGTACTGCTATGATTTCAAATGCACCAAAAATATGAAATATCATAAAATTAAGATCTGAAAAGTTTCACAAAAATCCGAGCTTGTGAAGGCCAAATTACAAAAATACCCCTATAAGGGTATTTTGGTAATTTCACACTTCTTGGGGGACTGCTATGATTTCAAATGCACCAAAAATTATGAAATGTTATAAAATTGATATCTAAAAAGTTTCACAAAAATTCGACCTTGAAAAGATCAAATTACTTAAATACCCCTAGAAGGGTATTTTAGTAATTTTGCCCTTCTCGGGGTACAATGAAACTTTTCGTGTTTTGAAAAATCTTAAATTTAATTTTAAATCACATTAATTTCAATTAGGTTTTGAATTTTCAAAATTGACCCGGCTCTATTCATTTTAACTAAGTTTTGTGTAATTTTAACTTTGTTTGATCGAATTTGACTCGAGTTAACTTTGAATTTCTGAATAGATAAATTTGTGAACTCTTTATGGGTCCTAAATGGCCCTCTTAAATGGTTTTGGCCCATGTTCATAAATAAGCCCCAGGTCAATCATGTTAAAAAATATTTCGGACAAAATTCGGTGTCTACACCCAAAGGTATAAAATGATCTTGAAAATTTTGAAAATTATACTAAAAGGTTTTGAAATTAATACATGGGGTATTAAAGTGATATTCACATATTTTGAAAAAGATATCCAAAGGTTTTCTTGAACTAATATCAAATTTGTCTACCAATATTACCTTATAATTCTAAAATGGTACTCGAAGATTTTGAAAATCATATTCGAAGGATTTAAAAACTTCTTATCTGAAAAATTATGTATCAACTTAATTGAATTTAACAATCTTAGTGTTAACTAAACTGATCTTAAAATTCTCTACATCATGCATTAGCTTAATTGAACTTAAAAATCTCCTCATCATCGCGTGCTAAGTTAACTAAGCTTAAAATTCTTGATTTTTCTAAATCTCATGAACAAAAAAAAAAAAAGAAACCTCGCTATTTTTTCAAGGATTCATAATTTTGAAACACTGATTTAAGATGAATTTGTACTCTTAAAGCTTGAAAAGCATGTGTTAATTTTAATTCTGGTATGAAAATCTTCAATGTCAATGATGCATGATAATGTGCATTGTTAAACATGTATGCATGATTGTATGTTGGAAGAAAATGATTCTCATTGACTCAAGGAATTCTTCCTTTGAAAATCAATTTTGTTTTATTGTTGATGGAAACACCTAAATCTTATTCAACAATAGTCATCTATATTAAGCAATTACCTTGACTCAAAAAAAGTCACTTATGTCATTGATCTAATAAAATTACCTATCTCTCATCCATCATATAAATATCAAAACAAAATTAAAATTCAGATATGCATCAATTTAAATTTGACTATTTTCATGTTTCTTTAACATTTTTTAAAAATTCTCAAAAAAATGACAAAAACAATTGTTCCGGAATAAACTTTCAAATGACAATAAAAAATTGCCTTACGTAACGATTTTTCATGATACGACAAAAAATTATCAATTTTCCATTTTTTTTAAATGTGACATTGAGATATTTTGAACTCTAGTGATTCTTATCTAAAATGAATGAGATAATCATAATTTGATCCTTTGAAATAAATTGGATACTATAGTGCATCAAGAAAGACTTCAAAACTAGATGAAAAGGAAAAGATCAATGTATCTTTATCTAAGCTCATAAATAAAAAGTAATTCTCTTTTAAAACACAAATTTCTAGAGAACCAATATTATTTGCAAGATATTTATTTTAAATCACAACCCATTTAATTTGCTTTAATCACAACCCATTATTTTCTAACATTCAGAACTAGCCTGCCGTGACAAATTATACCCATCATCTTCATTCGTCATTGTTATCTTCATCTCCTCTAGTCTTCATTCTCCACCTAGCTAGGGCTATATTATCCACCCAATGTGTTGAGCCATGAATCCCCTTAATGTGGGTTAGTTGAGTTTCCACCTTAATCCATATGAAGAAATCCAAGAGGGGAGGAGAAATTCAATCCATGGACTGTTTCCCAATTAAAGATGGATAACAAATTACTAAACTGAGCCTTTGTTGTTGTTGTTGTTGAGTTTTTGTTTTGTTGTCATCGTCTCTAGGTTTTTCCCATCTCCCTCCATTTGATCTCTCTAATGTTGGAATGCATATGCTCTTCCGTATACATAGTTGGCCAGCATTAGTTATATTTAATTATTTATGGATCAAACAATTTCTGTAAAAAGGACGATTTATCTTTATGATAGTCCAAAAATAATAAGAATACGACTCCTATAGAAACATGGAATACTTAAATTAAATGGTTGAATAACACCTAATTTCCATGAGTGTTATAAAGATTTAACTCTTGCGAAGATTGAGGATAATGCAGCAACACGTCATAGGTAAACAAAATTGAGTGAACGATAAGGATCCGAAGAGTCCTGATGTCATTTAGATATGATGTTTCTGATTGTAACACGGGTTAATTGAGAGGCCGGTCTGTCTAATTATAAAATCCAACAGGTTTTAATTCCGAGTCACTTGTTCAATCGACTGGACCTGCTGTTTGGTCTGATTCTGAGTAACTACAATATGAACCAACTTAATCTTTTGATTTTAGTATAAACAATAGTATTTGTAAAGGTAGGCTTAGCTGTAGGACGATGTTTACAACCAAAGTTTAACTGTCAGGTCAAGGCCTGGCTTGACGTGGGAGGGAGGCCTGCGGAATCACACAAAACTTCCACCACTTCCTTCCTAGCGTCTCCAAATTTAACGTACAACCTGGCCGTTTCAATTTTTCAATGTTAAAAACCAACCCAAAGAACTCGAGCAAAAGGAAATGGATCATTCCCTTTATTTATTTATACCAGCCATTCTATGCATCCTTCTTTGTAAAACTTACGTACAACAACCAGTCAAGTGCCTTCACGTTCAAACACGAGGAAAATACTCACCTCACATTCTTCTCCATCTGCCTTTCAACTTGAAGGTATATTAATATTTCTATGTCTCATTTCTTACTCTTTCTCACGTTCCATTATCGTTATCTGTCATCCTTTGTTTCTCAGTCTCCTTGTATGGCTTAAGGGTTAAGTAATAAGTAGTTCCTTTTTTGTTATTATTTTTCATTGGTGGATGCATCTCGTCTCCTTGTTTGACTTCTTTCTTTTTTATATAATTATTTTTTTTCTTTAGGAGCTCGAACAGGTCTTCTTAAAAAACTGAAACCTGAGTGGTTAGGAAAGAAAGTGCTGGTGATTAAAGTGCTCCTTTGTATATCTAATAATCGTAAAAAGCATAGGAACAGATTCTTCGTCTGTTGAATCAATATCTTCTACGAATCATTACCAAATGGAAAAATCCTCGAACGGAAGACCCGAGGAGACCCTGAAAGTAGGAGCACATGATGAAGAGAAGGAAGTTCAAGTTGTATTGGAAGATTCTGCGGCGTCAAAACCAGATGTTGAGCTTGTGAGAGACATTTTTACTGATGGGAACTCTAAGTCTGTTAATGAAACGACAGATGGGAAGAATTCCTGCTCAAGTAGTAGCAGTACGGTCGAAGACGCAGAACCTGAGGGAAAGAGTCCTCAGGTGGAGAATTCAGAGAATTTTGAAGAGGAGAAACTGGTTTCTGATTCAGTTGTTGAGTCAGTTGAACTTGAACCAGGGGTTTCTTCGACTGAAGAGTTCAGTCAAGGTATCAACCCATCAGTTGAGAAATCTGGGGATTCCGATGCTGCTGGGTTGGATGCCAAAGACACAGAAGAGAAAGCTTTACCATCTCTGGACGAGACTAACGCGGATTCTCCAATATTACAAGATTTGTCAGTAAATGGTTTAAAGGAAGAAACAGAGCAGCTGTCCTCTGCTGAGACAACTAGGGATTCTGCACTCCTAACAGGTAAACCGAAGGGAATTGATCAGGAAACAACTCTTCCAGGTTTGGATAAGACTAATGGCTCCAAGGTTGAAGCAGATGTAATGTCTTGTTTGACTGAGAACAGTGGAGTTCCAGCAGCTGCAGTAGCCCAAGGAATCACGGAAACCAAAATTCCAGCTTCTGATAATGATGCTGGAGGATCATCAGGGTCCTCTGATTTGGCATCTAAGGAAAATATTAAAGATTCATTGCTGGCAGCAAATGTTTCTATCGTTGAGACCAGAGATGCTGGTGAACTAGTAAACCAGCCTGAGACCGGTGAAAGCTCGGGAAATCAGGTTAATAACTTAACCCTGTAATATCTCCTGATCATTTGTACGAAGGAAGCTTAAACAATATTATTCTTTATGTTTCTCTTTTCTTTTTTCCTATTACTTTGTGCCAGATGTTTGATTTTCTAGGTTTCCATTGTTAAATTTATTTTAACTTTGTCTTAATTTGCTTCTTTCTTGTGCTTCTTTTGACAGCCTATCGTATCTATGAGTCATCATCCCGTGCAACCAACTTCTTGGAAGAGTTGCTGTGGACTTTTTGAAGTTCTGCGGCGCTCCGACAGATAAACTCACGGTGAGGAAAGCTCTCATAAAGCTTTATTTCTTAGCATCCATGAAAATTTGCTTTTACTTAGAATTTATTTGCTTGCTCAACCTCGAGTATTGGAATACAAGGAAGCTAGTTATGTGAGGATGATTTGCAATTGCAAACAACCTTTCTGCTCATAATTGCTAGTGAGACTTGTGAAATGCTCCGTACCTCAGTTGCATTTTCTCCAATAAGTTCAAACTGGTAAATTTCCTGGGTTCAACTTCTGTAAATGCACTGCCTACTGACCTGGCCATAAAAATTTTAATTTATAAAATAACCAGCCATTAATGTTAGTAATAGGCTGTGCTGGTGCCTAGATACTCAGTGTTGTGAATTTGTGAAGGAGACACTTCTAGAACACATTACCTTCCTCGTTGTCTCCTTGGACTATGGTCAATGGCTTCTGATCTGATCTACCACAAAGTCCAAAAGGTCATCTCTTGAAACTTATTATTGGCCGGGATTCTGGGATCAAACTAGTGACAGGATAACAACTCACCATGCAAGGTATATATGCTATTGAAAGTGTCTATAACTGGAAGAGGTTTTGTTCCTTCTGCAAATTGTAGAATGAAAACTACTTATGGTTAATCTTTTCTGTATTTTTATTGATGTTATGTGGGTGATAAGTTACTGAAATTGTGCCACTGCCACTACTTTAGGGTACTAGACATCAAACTGCAGATATTAGCTCTTTAGCAGCAATTGCTTCCACATATTTCATTAGCTGCTGATTGTAATTTTGGGTTCATATTGGGAGAAAAAGAGGAGAGTTGAAACAGGGTTAGTAATCAAGTTTCCTATAGAGTCTAGATTTGACTGCAGACAATGATAAACCGAATCTACAGATTGGTGTTATGGCTGATGGAGACTGCATGTTTTGGATTTAGGAAACTGTTTTGAGTCCTTTTTTAGTTATTGTTTTTGTGAGCAAATGACCGTAAAAATAGTTCCTTGATAACAGAGAGAAGCCTTCATGCTCCTGATACACATGGTAGTTCCATAGAGATAATGTTAGGACATAGGAATTTTTTTTTTTAATTTCTATCAGGAATGGCTTATATAACAAGCTCTTGCGCTAGATATAAATTCTGCCAATAACTGGAGTAGAGTTCATACAAGCTCCATAAACTTGCAGTGTCTTTCCTGTTGATGGAACAATATTCTGGTGCTTCATTAATCACGCTAGTGGTCTAATCTGCAAGTAAGAGGTTGGATCCCTATGTTCAGGCATCATAGTACTTTGTGTGTAAAAATCCATGCATTATTTGAGTTCATGCAACATGCCAACTTTTCAGTTTTCTAAAAGCTTTTACAGTAATCCTAACACTCTCCATCAACTTATGCCGGATTTTCTTTCTTTTTTTTTTTTTTTTTTGGGTTGCAGGGACAGAGTACTACTCAAAAAAAAAAAAAGTTACACAAAATTACAAGTTGTTGTGGGTTTATAGGTTTTTATGAAGCTTTTTTCAGCATTTTCTGCAAAAGAGTCACTGAGAAGAAATGTTTAAAGTATGTTGAGAATGTACTAGAGCTTGGATGTTGGATCTGCCGTGTGTGGAGCGAGTGTTTCATCAGCTGGCCTTGTAGTTACATTCGTTTGTGTATTTGCATATTTATTTCTGTGATGATATGATTTCATTTCCTATTGGTAAGTTGAGTTTTCCCCTCGACTCACCAAAGTTTAATGGCAAGAATGATTTAGATTACATGGATCGCAGTAGCAGTTTCAGTTAATACTAGGAAGAAAAAATAGCTCGGTTATACTTGGAAATGACTAAAACAAGAAAATGGCTCTATCCTGTCCGAATACTAGGTTTAAAACGTAGGGTAAAAGCTGCTGGTTAAATTTGCCAATTGCGACCACCTATTCTCCAGCAGAGGTAGGACTGTAGGAGCAAAAACCAGGGAGTGGAGTCCTAGCCTCGCCCATCCTCCCAACCCAAACCAACAAATCCGCTCAATAGTTACCCGTAGGCCTGAGTTCCATTCAAAATCCATCAGACTGAATATTTCTCCGTTCTCCTTTGGGGGGAAAAAAAAAGGAAGAGCAATGATTCAACAGGACTCCTCCCGTTCACTTTTAGTCAAAAAACCTATATTATGACCTACTATCTAAACACATAGCCATTGGCTAAAATCAGTCTTCAACAGGGCGTCGAGCAAAGACTTGGAATATAAAGAGTGATTATTATTTTAAACGTCTAGGTCATCTTTGATAGAAAAAATTATTGATAAAATAAAATAATAATCACTTTACATTATATTCTATTTGTATAAAAAAAAATAAGATTATAAAAAAATTAATTATTTTTTCGAAAAAAAAAAATCAATTTTTTCAAAATTAAAAATTAAATTTATATACCTTATTATATCTTTAAAAATTATATCAATAATTTAAATTATATAAACTTTAACAAAAAATAATTTTAATCAATAAATAAATTATCTTAAATAATTTTAATCAATAAATAAATTATCTTATCATAAGTTTTATATGCATCAAATACAAAATAATATAACATTATTTAATTTAATGTTAATCATAATATCATCTTATCATATTCTATAATAATCTTAAGCACCAAACATATCTTTAAGTTTTATATAAGTTAATTTATATTTATATTTGATATATTATCAGTTTATAAATAATATTCATTATAAATAAATCATAAATAGTTGCATCATTAATCTGCTTTAACATAATTAAATATTTAAAATTTATAAATATTTATTTTTAAAGATCCTAAAATTTTAAATTTTTAATAATAAAATGACAATTTATACTGCATCAAATATAAAATCTTACTTAATATTCACCGCCATTTCATAATTACATCAAATTGTTCAATTTCCTTAATAATGAACTGTATTTGATTAGCGAGTTGCAGCATCCCACAAACAGCATCACGGAGGGAAGCAACCGAGCCATTCTATGAGCAAAATACATGATGAAAGACGTAAAGTGAACGTAGCAGACAATCCTTGGAAACGCAGGAATAACATCGTTTTGCTTATCATGCAAAGAAAAAAACACTATACTCAAGTATCCCCACCTGCTTGGCTAAAACAGAAGTATCCCAATCATGGTGCTAGTGACAATTACAGTTCCATTAACATGTGGAATGCAGAATATACATCTACATATATATATATATATATATATATATTCCATTTTACTATTTTTCAATGCAATGCAAAAGCAAAAACCAAACGAGACAATCAATCCAAATCGTATAAGGTCTCAAACCAGAGTAAATGATTTTTATGAGTTTGGCGTAAATTTTGACACCTTAAATTGCAGTAATATGTTTATGGGCCAAAAATAATGTGCATGTTTCAACCAAATATCCCCAAACATCTGTTATTCAACTAACTTGCAAAATCTGATCAATCAGAAAACATGATTATGAGGCTGGATAGTACAAAACACAACACCACTTTGCGATTCAGCAAATCAAATCACAGAATATTGCCGATACCGACTATTATCATAACTAAGACAGATGGCCCTAGGCAGTAGGCAAAAAGCATGGTCAAATAACAGAGCAAGTCTAATCAAGAAATCCAGGTTTCTAGTTCTAGTATTCACTATTCAGATATATATATATATATATATATATGTATATGTAATGCTTGTGCACAGTTTCAAAGTGTAAATCACAACTAACATACAACTGAACCAATTCATAACGAAGATTCGAAAATAGTACACCATGAATGAACAAACAGAAAAGCCTCCCAAGGATGCAATTTGCATTACTACAAAATCACAATTCCTTCAAAAACTAGATGGAATACTTGTGTTTGCAATTAAAATTGTCAACTAGCAAATAAACATTCATCACACCCAAGGCCAGAAATATATTAGCAGCAGAAGTGAGATTCATAGGCACAGAATTGGAAATCCGAGCAACATTATTCCACCTATCAAAAATTGAACACATATTCATTACTATAATAAAATCCTAACCTCTCCTCATTAATCATGCGCCAGTAATCATCAATCACGAACGCTTCCTACAGCAAAGATACACCACAGCAGCCGCAACAACAATAGCCCCAGCAGATCCTGCCACCACAACTGGCACATTCAACCCCTTCAACCATTTCTCTTCACCACCAACGCTCTCAACAATCTCCCTATTGTTTCCATTGATACCCTCAGTAGTCATCTTCTCCACCTCCTCCTTTAGTTCCAATATCTTCAACTCCAACCCCATGGCCTTCTCCTCAGATTCTCGTTTTTCTTCCTTATTCCTCTCCAATTCAACCCTCGTTCTCGCCACCTCCGATTCCAACTCCTCAACTTTCTTCTCATATTCGTCCATCTTTTCCCTCATTTCCTCTTCAATCCTAACTTTCTTACTCCTCTCCTTCGTTTCCCTCACTTCTAAAACTCCCAATTGCCTCTCCAATTCCCTCACTTTCTTCTCACTCTCAACTTTCTCTTTCTTCAACTCAGCGATTTCCTTGTCCAATCTCTCAATCACCAACCTTTTCTCTTCCAATCCTCTCTTTAACTCAAACACCTTCTTATTCACCTCATCCACTTCACTCATCGAAGTTATCAGATCATGTTGAAGCCTCGAAATCTCAGTTTCAAGATCAGCCGATCTCGCGGCGATTGATTCTGCGACCCTTTTATCAGCCTCCCACTGATCCATTTCTAGTCTCATTTCTTCTTCCTTGTTTCGTAGTTCATCAATCTGTATGGTCAGTTTCTTGATCTTTTCATTCATTTCTTTGTTCTCGTTGCTCAGTTCCAGCTTCTCGCTCTCAAGGGCTTCGATTTTACTAGCCAGTTCGGTTAGTTTGGCTTCATCAGCGTCGTAGAAGTTGTCCGCCGTCTGATTCTCCACTTCGCCGTTTATGATCGCCGAATCTGCCATTCTCTTTAATCTGTGTTTGGCTGCCAAGAAAATCACAAAAATTAGAGTTAGGAAGAGAAAAAAACCCTAAAGAACCTTTTCTGTGACAAAGAAAGAGAGAACCAAATATTTTTCTAGTTTTATGAGAAAAGAGAGATGAAAGAGAACTTCCTTCTCTCTCTCTCTCTCTCTCTCTCTCTTTTAGAACTAATTTTCCATGAAAATGTGAGGAAAAGATGGAGAAAAGCAAAGAGACAAAAGAAGCTGCACCTTTGTTTTGCTGATGATTCGATTAGGGTTTTTCTTTTTATTTTTTTGAAATATTTTATATAGTTGATATTTGTTGCCAAATCAGAAGGAATAAAAAGAAAATGCAGATTCGAGGAATCCAGGAGAAACGGACGGTTAAGAATAGAGGGATGGAGGTGGCACTTGGCAATGGCCTTGGCAGTGATGGCAAGTGGGGAGCATGTACTGTGTGGGACCTTTTAATCAAAATCTTAGGTGGATGGGCCTGTAATTCCCCTTTGCAAAATTTCAAATTTCACTTTTCCATTGCCATTTTGGATTGGCTGTTATGGGCAGGGTTCCGTCTAGCCTGGGTTATAGGATGGGCCTATAACATGAATCTATATTAAATGGCTCCAGGTGGGCTCGTCCATCGCTGGTTATCAAGATTATCTTTAGTTTCCTGCCCTTGCTGGATATTTATACTCATTCACCATCCTGGTTGCCATGAGCTGAGTAGCTGAATATGTGTTGCACAGTCCATCATGTAAGCTAAAGTTTCTATTTCTCCACACTAACTACAAAATATAGAGGCAATGCTATGACACTTGATTAGATCGAGCATGATTGAGGAATATCAATCAAAACTCAGTGACTCAAAAGGGTTGTCCAACAACCCGCGGTTGCAACCATGTATCGTGCATATCCTCCCCGTATAAGGTTGGCACACCAACTCATCCCGATAGATTTTCACTCCATTTAACCTTATAGAGTTAAATTTTTTTTTTTAAATCGAGTTTTAAATCAAATTGAATTGAACAATGTTAAAAAAAAATTAAAATCAGATCGAATTTAAATTTTAGGTAAATTTAATTTGATTTGACTCGATATTATATAAAAATTATTTTTTAATTAATTATTTAATTTTTTATTTATATAATTATATATTTAAATATTTATATTTTAAAAAATAATATTTTATTAATTTTAAGTAAATCGGATCAAAAATAATTTATATAATATTGATTCAGATTCGAATATAAAAAAATAAAAAAAATTTTAAATCAAATTAAATTTAAATTTTATAAATATAAAATTAAATCGAATTCAAAATAAACAGAAACTTACTTCAACCTTTGACAACCCTACTTCCGTACCTCTTTGTTATAGTCACATTCAAAGAAAACGTGCTGCCAAGTTTCACCATGAGAATTACAAACTAGACAGCCATCGTCTTCGTCCAGTCGAATTCCCTCCCACGGGCGGATGGCTAATAAGGCCAGAGGGGACCTTGCCTCCCAAAAATTTTAGAAACCCTTAAAATATACATATATAAATTTAAATAAATTTAAAATAATTCTTCAAAATTAAAATGATTAAGTTTTATAATTTTATCTTTAATTATATCCATTAATTTTAGAGGGATTAAAATTATATTACTATTTGTCTATTTATTGTACCCACCAATAATTACTTATAAACCTTTAAAATTAAGAGGTATTATAAGTTTTAAATTATAATAATGTGAAATAAATAAAAGTTAAATTAACTTTTTTGTTATTTAACAAGACCTCGAATCTCCAATTAAATATTGTACATATATATATGTTTTTTTCTTTAGCTTACTATAATTTTTTTCTTTTCATATAATATTTTCGCTTTAAATTTTACTCTAAATCTCTATCTTATTTTATAATCTTTAAAAAAAAAATTGGAACCAGTTTATAAAATGTTAAAAAAAAAAAAAACTATAACTTTTAATCTCAAAGGTTTATTTTATTATTTCAATTATATATTTATTTTCTTTCTTTGTTAAAAAAATTTGTTTCTTAACTATAGCTTTTAATCTCAAAGGTTAATTTTATTATTTTAAAAGTATATTTATTTTCTTGCTTTGTTAAAAAAAATATGTTTCTTAACCATTGATTTGTTTATATTTTTTATTTCAGTTTTAAATTACCAAAAGAACAAAAAAAAAACAGAAAAAAAAAAAGAATCAAGAAAGTTTGAGTAATTGAAAGTCTTTTTTTTTTTTTTAAATTTAATCTTGTCATAGCAATATTTTTATAATTTTATAAACATATTATTTTAATTAGTATATTGTTTTCATATATATATATATATATATATATATATGGATTTTTTTTATATTCATGCAAAACAAATTTGTTTTACACTTTTTTTATAACCTTACGTAAAATTATATTTTTATAGATCAAACGTTATATTTATCAACTTATTCATATCCGTTATACATATAAGTCATCTCGGCGTTAAAGGCCGTTAGAAAGTCATCTAGGCAAGGGTTCAATCCCCGCCATGCCCCCTCCCCCTTGTACAGGCGCTAATCCCCTTTGAAACCAATATATATATATATATATATATATATATATATATATATAATAATTTTGATTTTTATATATATTATAAAATTCACAAAATAAATTTTATAAAAAAAATATAATATTAATTGACCCCTCTCAAATTAAACGTTAATATCCACCACTATTCCTCTCCCAAGCAAATTTGGTTAATTTGTAGGTAAGATGTTATGAACCAGCCGGGTAACACAGTCGCCTGCCACACAATCCTCCAAATCGGAGACCTGGGATTCATATCAGAAGCGGCGCAGCCCACCAGTCTAGACACTTGATAAGCCACCGATTAACCGTGAACTGTCCCACCGGAGAATCGTTCCATATGTATTAGAAAGTCCTCGATCGCTCTCTTGCTTAAATATGGCATGCTAAGAATAAGCTCCGCATCATTTGAATGAAAAAGCTCCGTAACCACATCTGTTCCGAGTCGATCATCATGGTTGATAATCCGGAGGCTTCTTAATCCATCTATCTTGCCAAATATCTATATGTTCCCCATCTTCAACGACCTCCATATCCTCCATTAGACTACGCCATATATAGAAAATAGAAATGACTGATTATATCCCAAAATAGCATTCATAATAGAAACTTACCTCCTCCATTGCTTAGCAAGTCTCCAAATGTGAACAATTAAAATAAATTTTGACTTAAGGAATTTTAATAATTTTATTGAGTAAACATAACGGTTTAATGTCCTTCGAGACTAAAAATAATAACAAAATATTAATTGAGAAAATTAAATAAATCACAAAATATTATGCTGAAAATGTTAAAATTATATGGGTAGATGGTTTTTACTCATGATACGATTAAATATAGTCTCAACGGTTCAAAAAGTGCTACTTACCCGTATTTATATGTCTATCTCTAGACAATGTTGTAATGACTCAAACTCAAAAAGACCCAAGCCAAGATGTCTACTTTGGGCTTATTGATGTCCTTCCATTAGCATCGCGAAGTTGTCCTTGAAAGCCTTAAGCAAGCAAGATGCCCCATCGGACACCACAGCAGCTGACCTTGCTGCTGCCCTCACCACTACCACTCAACAAAGAATTATGTTCTCTGACAAAGATTTACCAACTGAGAGGGCAAACCACATGCGAACTCTACACTTAACTATTGAATGTTGTAAAAAAAAAAAAAAGCGATTCCAAACGCAGTTTTTTTTTTCCCTGTACTCAACACTCGAGAAGTTGGTATGCTCCACGAAGATTTTAATAAGATGTTTTGTGTAGACCTGTAAATTCGTAAAAATGGTTATATTAGAAAAATAAAAAAAAAAAAAAACTATATGAGTTTTTTTTGTCTAAGTCTTCGGTGTCCGATAATTACTTTTAAGTCTCGATTAATTTAAAATCAAATCGAATCGAATCTCATAAAAAAAAACGAATTTTTTCAAATTTATTTTTATTCACAAAATTCAAAATTAAAACTTTATTTAAAAAAAAAATCAAACTCTTTACTACTCAAACTAAGAGATGTTACGAATCATGTTCTAATTTCTTATGTTATGAATTCTAGATTTAGAACGTCATGCCTCAAGGTTTGATTTGTGTTATTTTTAGACGTGATAATAGCTGGAGCTTGCAAGTTTGGTACTCAACTTGGCCTAGAGACACTTGCACTCCTCTTCTCTAAAAATGAGCTTTGGCATCAAAGTTTATTTGCAAATTTGACTCCAATGGATTACTTTTCTTTCTTTTTTTTTTTTTTCACAGTTGTTATACTGATCATAATTGTTGCGATGTATTTTAACTGCTAAACTTTAGAATTTTTATTTTCCTAAAAAAAAAAATTTAGAAGATTTCTTAAGTTCAAATTAACTTGGAATTGGAAATAGGGGAAGAATTTATACTGAAGAGGCAACCTCCTAATGTATACATATTCAAGGGCTAAAAAGGTCTCTATGTAATAAAAAATGCAATGAAATTAAACTTTGATAATATTTAGGGGAAAAAAAAAGAAATTCTATGTTGATTGTCTTTCCTAACCAAAATCATCATCACTAGTCCAAAATTAATATCCAACTACACAAGATTAAAATGATGAAGCTTTTCTTAGAGATGAGAACAGATAGTAAATAATCAGATATATGATATTATTTAATTTGATTACATCGACTTCAAATACTTATAAATGAATTATTATCGAATGTAGATAGGATGTTTATTATTGGTATAAGATTTAGATAACATTCATTGGGTATTCGATACCCAATAATGTTTAAGTTTATTTTCATTTATTTTTTCAAAAATAAAATCTATTATATCTCATTTCAAAAGTTACATTAATATTTATCTCTTTTATTTATATAAGATGATATTCAATTGCTGAATCAACTTGTACATTTGTTGTCGAGGAAGAAGAATAATTTTTCATGAGTTAAAAGAATTAACTTTTTCTGATTATTTTTAGTTCATGAAATGTTTCAAGTTGGTTGTTTCTTTAATCAATTAAATAAATGTGTTTTATTTCATGAATGGATTCTTATTATCTAAGTCCTTTTTTGTTGTATTTCAAAAATTATTTGTTATTAATTAAAGGTGAATTTAAATTTTAAATTTAAGTATTATTTGATTTTATATTTTGACAAGAAATAAATAATTAAATGTTTTAATAAATTAGGATATTTAATGGATAATGTTTATTTAATTAGAGTAAAGTCAGATAATGTACTCTCATTTAATCAGATAATTAATGGATTTAAATATCATACAAATTAATAAAATTTAAATATAAATACTTAAAATACGACGGACCGATCCGTCAAACCTACCCTCGCCCTCCAACTAATAAAAGCACATCATAACATAGTCATGTAGTTCACTTCAATGTGCCAACCAAAGATCAAAGATACCGTGCCAATTACCAACAGATGAGGTTGTAAAATTAATTAATTCTAGAACTCTATCTTCATTCTTCAATCATCCATTAACATATTTCTTTGCATTTACCAATACTTCTGATTTATCTGCACTTGCCAGCACTAAACAGATTTCTCCTCCTATTCATCCAGCTATTCAGATATAGTTAACATAATAAACCAAAATCAAAAGGCAAAATGAAAATGAAAATGACAGTGGAATGGAATATGGGAATATAATGAGGGATCTTGCGCTCTCCTTCACTATAAAATAAATACAATTGAGAAACAACTAGTCTGACGTCTGTAATCAACCTCCGAGCTTTGTTTTCTGTTTCTCCAAGCCTTCAATAAAGCTTGAAAGAACTCTCATGGTTTTAATTTGACACTGCAAAGCTAATATATACCCAGCAGTCTCTTCAAATAACTCGTCAACCCCTAAAGCCTCACCTCCTGGAACAATCCTTTGCAATGCCACAATCTTTCTCTTCACTTCTGACTTCTCATCATCATCATCTTCTTCTTCTTTTTCTCCTTCTTGTTTTTCACTCAAATAATCCTTCTTTTGAGCATTCAAGTACTCGCAGCTCCTTTTCCTTCCAGTTGCCCGGCTTCTTTGAAAGCTGGGTAAAGGTTCATGCAATGCATTTCCCATCAAAGCGTTTTGGTGGGTTTTCCTTTCTTTTCCGTGAAATATGGGTACATTAGTCTGGTTCAAGGCATTCTCCATTGACAGAGAAGAGAAGGAAAGGGCTAAGGGGAAACGGCAAGGAGCGAGTTTTGGGAGCCTGAGAGGGGGGGACTTAAATTATTGTTAGGCTCTAGAGAAATGTCGATCAATGCCAACGAATCTAGGCCCACCCAGTTTTGGGTTCCCAAGCCTTTGGTTTTGGGTTGGAGCTTGTGGTGTTAACGCGCCATACACATGCGCGTGAGAGGTTGTCGGGTAGTGCTTGCATGTGCCATTGTAAAGGCGTTGGCGCAGGCAAACTTTACAACCAGGCACATGCAGGGAGTGGAAAGCTGTCTGGAAGGAAATTGATGTAAACCCCCAAACACGGTTGGAAGTGAGCGGCGATCAAACGGATTTTCCGGGATCACCTGCGGATAGGTCTATAGAGAATAAGGGGGAAAAGAGGGACCCACAAACGTAAACAAAAGTGAGAGAGAAAAAAAGAGCACATGTTATCCCATGATTTTCTTGAACCAAACACCAGCCATGTGCCTTCCGATCTTTCTTCCCTCACTTCTATGATCTACATCACTACCACTGGCATATATGCCACGTAGCACTTTCTTAAACGGGACCCACCTAGAGCCCCAAAAAAACCTCCAATTTTTTTTAAAATTCTTATTTGATAATTGCTATTCGTAATTTTTCTTGGTTTTTAGTTTAGGCAAAATGATAAAAAAATTTCTGAACTAAAATTTAATAATTACATAAGTTTTTATCTTTTTTTGTAATTAATTAAACTTTTAAATATTTATTTTTTATCAATTAAATCTTTATTAAAATTTTTTTAAAGATTTAATTGATAAAAATAAATATTTAAAAGTTTAATTTGATAAAAATAATTTTTTAAGAATTCAATTGATTTGAAATAAAAAATTTAGAGTTTGATTGATTGAATTAAAATATCATAAGTTTAAATGATTTTTAAATTTTGTTTAAGGGCTATTTAAACCTTTTTACCTTTAGACTTCGTCTATTTTTAAAAATAATTTTTATATTTTTAAGTATTTATTTAGTAGAAAATTAGTTGGTTAATAGAAAATAACCTATTAATCAATAAAAAATAAAGTCATATTTTGAAAATTATCTTATGAATTTGAAAAAAGAAAAATATTTTTCAAAAAAAAAAATTATTTATGAGTATAATTATTTATCAATATTTTTTCAGCATAATTTTACATATAAATAATATTATATTAATAAATAAATAGTATTATAATATATTAATAAATAATTTCAATATATTTTAATAATAAATAATTTTTAATATTTTAATAATTATATTAATATTATTTTAAAAATAAATTTTTCAAAAAAAATCAAATAATAAAAAATATTTTTCATTAACTCATCCAAACAACCGAAAATCTCTTTAAATTCAAAAAATATAAATATTTTTAAAAAAATATTTTTTGCAAACCAAATGAAACCTTAGTTTATAAATGTTAATCGAACTAGTTTAAATCAAATTATTATGAGTTTGAATTTTTTGGTTTTGAACATTTTTTTAGTTTGGATCAGGTTCAAAAAAATTAATTATGTATTTTTTTTAGATAATATTTATTAGTGATTATATATGAACTTTTATTAGACGTTAAAATAAATAAATAAAATTTTTTTAAAAAATTTCATTAATAAATTAATATAATCTAATTAATTAATAATATATAAAATTTATATATTTACAATATATTAAATATAAACTCTTATTTTATACAATGTCACTTTCACATTTAAAAACCAAATACCATTAAATATTTTAATACTTTTAAAATTTTAAAAACTCACAAATAGTTCTCAAATTTTTTTAATTAAATATTTTACTCTAAAGTTAACTTCATAAATCCAACAGATGAAATGTCCAAAACAAAATTAAAAAGAATACACTATATCTCCAACTCTAATTGACTTTTTTTTTTTTTGTCATATCATCCATTTAATTAACAGAAGTCTATTTAAGTGAATGAAAATTAAAATATTGAATTACAATTTTGGTTTTTTCAAGTATTAAACCGAAAGTTTTACCAATATAATTAGAGCAGTAGATGTCTCCACATAATAATCTTTAACGATTACTGCTCGTGATCACCTGATTGATCGGTTGAGTGTTGATATCTTAATTTTAACAATAAAAATTTAATTTTAAATAATTTTAAATATTAAAAAATAATTATTTTTTATCTTTTTAAAGATAAGGATAAAGAGGCAACGAAAAAAAGAAGGGGAATGGAGGTTGTGATGTTTCCAAGAAGGAAACCAGTGGGAAGTTAGTGGCATTGGGATTGAGAGAGAGTGATTTGGTGTGTTGGGCATACGGGGCTCCAGTGGTCAGAGTCACCTATTCACCATTCACTTGTTGCTTTTACCCACTACACTTGTTATTTTATTATTATAGTAAAAACAATACTTTCATCAAATCCCACATCTTCTATGATCATATTTTTCAGATCTTTTGGCAATCTTTCATTATCTCATGGCTGTCCGTAGCGGTTTGACGTACAATGTCAATCCAACATTTTATTTATTTTATTCCAATTTGATACCAAAATAGCTTAGTAACATTTTTTTTTTTCTCTCTTCTGGGGTTACATTTTACACTTCCATTGTTTTCTTTGCTTTTCGCCCCTTTTGGAGTTGCATTTTCACACTTCTATGAATAATTATTGGGGTGAGATAGGGTAGAAATTTTAAGTTCTATACATGATACTGTCTCTCGTAAGGTTTAATTTCTTCAATAATTTTGGATCCATTTTTCCTTTATTTTTGTTAATTTTATATTTAAAAGTTGATAAAATTACTTGAACAGTTGAACTCACCCCCCCCCCCATTTATCTCCTCTGGAAATTACATTTGAACCACATTTCACTTCGTTTAAGAATTAACAATGATCATGCACGTAGATTCAAGATATATCATGCTTTGATTCGTCTCATCCCTAATTCCAAACACTTGAAAAAAATGGCAATAAGAAGTCATTGAATCATAGCTGAGCAGATCCATTTCACTCATCTTTAAGGATTATCGATGATCATGGATGCATATGCAGCCAAGTTTATCATGTTATAATTTAAATCATGTTACTTTTGTCACGAGTTAAGATTTAAGTTTTAAATTCACGTGATTTTAAGATTCAAACATAAATTTATCCAATATTTTAAATTAATTTAATTGTTACAGTTCACATCAATTCGTGAAATATTATTCATTTCGTTTCTTTTGATTTTACGATTTCGTCCCATAAAATACGTCTCATGAATTAAAAGTGATGTGAACATTTATATTTCATGATCAATTTTATTACACAGTCGATGTCTTAACTCTAACGAAGACTCATCGTCTTCGGTGATACATCGCTAGCACCTCCACAGTTAATTTTAATACCACTTATTATGAGTCGAAACTTAAACTACAAGCTCATGTGACTCTAAAATTAAGACATAAATTCATTCGACATCTCAAATCAATTTAATTATTATAATTCATATAAACTTATGAGATATTATCCATTTCGATTTTTTTAATTTCACGATTTTATTTCACAAAAAATATTTCATAAATTAAAAGTGACGTGAATTTTTATATTTTATGATTAATTTTAATATATAATTAATACGAGGTTCACGATCTCTATTCCGTGACCGTGACACTTTCACTGGCTTCTAAAATTAATGTGCACGATTCGTGTGTGCGAGGGAATTTGACCAACAACCATGTGCAATGTGCACCCCACCCTCTAAGGCTTCGCTGCACTTTCAAGAAAGTAGTAAGACAGAAAATCTAAGAAATGATTCTTACTATGAACAAAAAAAAAAAAAAAAAAATCTTACCAAAGATACTAAGCAGGGTCTATCCTTGAAAGAAAACAAATTTTGATGACCTAGCAGAAAAGAAAGATTTTTTTTATACAATTGTTTTTTGGTCGAGATGAGATGCATTCACCTTATGTTAGTATGGCAGGAAGAAAATTTCATAGCAACCCAAAAAAAGAGTCAATGAACTTAGAATATTACTAATTGATTATTATTTGCTTTTACTCCATTTAATAATCGGCTTGAAGTTGGCAAAAAATGTAACCACATTCAAGTAGATGCATGTGACCTTAAAAAATGGTCGAATTATGTCAACAATTTCTATATTCTATTGAAATTTAAAATTTTTATATGCTATTAAAATTTAAAATCTAATCTAACGATTTTAATTCATATAAATAAAATTTTTATATTATTTTAATTTAATTATTTTAATTCAATCATTATTTTTATTAAATTTTTGTCTTGATATGATTTTTGATTTGATGATGTAAACGATATCTTTATTAATATGATATTAATTTTACTGATATAAAAATTTAGATAAATAAAATTAGTTATCAAATTATTCAAATAAAACTTATGTTCACATAAAATATTTTTTAAAAAATAAATGTTGAAAAAAAATTGATTTTAAAAAACCTTGGAATATTTTGAAAATAATCAACATATTAATTTTTTAAAAATAAATTCTGATTTTATGAAAAAATTCAAAAAAATATAATTTTTTTAAAAAATTAAGATATTAAAAATAACCAAATCAATAACCATGACAATATTTTTGGCGACAAAAATTTAGAGTTAATAATTAAATAGAAATTATCAAATTAAAATAATATAAAAATTATATTTATATGAATTATAGTAGTAAAACTAAATTCTAAATTTATCGGGATTTGACCAGAATAATCCCATTACAAGGATCACACGTCCAGGAGAAATTATCAACCACATTAACATTAATAGTGGATTTTTTAAATTCTACTAATAGAATGATACATACATCTTAAAATCTATTAAAAATAAATTAATTGAAAAACAATTACATGTCAATCTCTTAAGTAAAACCCTAATTATAAAATTAAAAATTTTCACTGAAATAATTTCTCCCCTTAGAATGTGATGGAATCAGAATAAAAACAAAAAGATATAGGCTGGAGGAGAGAGTTATTTTTTCCTATAAAATTAAATGTATGATTTCATAGACATGTAGTTTCACATTACCAAACTTAATTAGAGCCTATCGTTCCCTGAGAATGCTAGCTCCCTTTTTACAGATTCAACTAAACAAATCTCTCTGAAATTTTCCCTCTCTGCAAAAGGATCTGTTACTTTATAGCTTCTTAATCCTTCGCTAATACATCCTTGTCATGCCATACTGAACAGTTCCAATCTTCCTATGAGTAGTGGCAGTTGCAGCAACACCTATACCACCATAATGAGCTTTCGCCTGCAACAAGTTCGTATCAATGGTAACTCTGTCATCAGCAGGTTCCGCATTGTTCACTCTGGTCATGAAAAACGGGTTTGAGTCGATATTGATAGCTATATCTGGTGCGAATTTGGCTGCCATGCCGCATTGGGGAACTTGTTTATTTTGAGAGGGCAACTCCCTTTCAGACCCCATTGTCAATCTTTCTTGCTTTGCTGCGCTAGATTTGTGATAAGAATATCCAGGGTGTACAGCCTGGGGTGGAAGAACTGCACTTCTTGTGAATGTTCTTGGATCATAGGCATCTTTCATGATAGTTCCATTCTCATAAAGCCCAACAGGGCCTACTACCTTTCCAGGTTTGGCTGAATAGAGAGAATATTTCAGTTCAAGTAGTAAATAAATACAAGAAAATAAAAAAGGATGAGCAAAGGAAAAAGAAGGGGGTGGGATAGGATAATCTAAAAAATACCTAGTGGAATTCTTTGTTGTGCCTGCAAGGTTCTTGATAAATGCACAGGAACAGCTTCAGTTTCCCTGGAACTTTTGCTGTATGCCTCTTCTGAATTTTGCTTATCTTTTAAGGAGTTGAAGCTTGGTTGCTCTTTGAGGGGAATTGTATTAGCATGTACAATTGTTGACCTGAAAATTCATTGGATTACGGTGTCAACTATCAAAATTAAAGGCAAAAGATAATGCTGTCCTAACATCAGCCTATTTAGTATTTCCAATAACAGGTAATAACAAAAAAAATGATGTCCTACCAACAGCCTATATTCCTTTCTTTTGGCCAAGAAAAGGCTAATCAGCTGAAAATGAATTTCCCCCAATATCTTATTTAATCAAAATCCGGAAGCAGAGTTACTAGGAACGAAAATGAGCCTACATGCAGATTTGGCACACGCTTATTTGCTTTTACTGAGTGAACCTCATGCATAGTTAGTAGCTTTAGCTTCATCTTTTTCACTTCTAATTCAAAATCTCAACATTTGCTTTTGGAATGCAAGAGAAACCTAAAAATTAAAATAATAAGAAAATATTTGATATTTATAGCATTAAGAGTTTGATTCTTCACCTTCATTATTAATAGCATTATTAAGAGTTCGATTCTTCAACTTCCCCTTGAAGACTATGAAGCAGGTGTTTGGCCCGGTTTATGGGAGAGCTTTTCTATTACAAAACTAGAAGAAGGATGTTTGGCTCTCAAAATTTTAAAATAACTTACATGGGAAAACATTTGAATCTTAGATATAGCTCAAATAACGCTTCTTTAAGAAACAAAAATGTGTAGCAACGAACATATAATGAGATTCTTTTTATATGTTATTTTATGCTATGAGGAGAATTATATTACCTACATCCTTTTGTTTTATTCAGCTTAAAGTTTTTTTTTAAGTTAATTTTACTGCTTTCTATTTTATTTGTTTTAATTGGTAGAAATTTTATGCCTTTATTTCCAGCATGCTTTCACCTTGAATTCAATGTTTATTGCCCAAGCAAATACCAGGTAGTGATTGGCAGATTAGCAAGTATTTATAATTTACTCTTGTAAGTTTTCTTTTTAATTACCGGCAACAACCGCTGTCAAGTAATGTTTATCATCACTTACACAACCAAACAATGCCAAAAACCACACCAAAGTCTATCCATGCCCTAACTATAACAATCTTTATTTGCCAAAATGCCCTTGCTCTAACAACAAAAGAGAATTCTTTTTTTTTTAATCTAGATGCATTGATTTATATATTCTATCCAAATAAAATGACATATACATAATCAAAGTGTCTAAGTAATATTATTTCAAAGTCCACAAGCACAATTTTGGGCATGCTAATAAAAAATTAAAGTTACAAATTATAATATATAGATATATATACCTGGGAAGAGAGACATGCTGTCTTTCAAGTGGAATAACCTGCCCATTTTTACCACCATTTTCCTCAAGATGAGCAAACTGCTTTCTGAATTGATCAACCGCACTGCATAACAAATATACATTAGAAATAAACTATAAGTAGCAGTAGAGTCATTGCTAATGAATCTCAGTAAGATTAGAACAATGACAAAAGTTAAAAAAAACACTAAATAAAACCTTGGATAGAGAAAGTTTGTCCTCTCAGTTCCATTCATATGGTCTTTAAGCAGCTGAGGATGGTATTCGAGTATCTCACAGAAAATTAGCTCCCGTATATCCTCCTTTGTGACCCTACGCCTCTCAAATTCAAACTCCATCTTTGTAATTGGCTGACAGGAAGGCTCTCTCTCAACTTTTGCCAGTCCCTTAAAGTAAGGATCGGCAAGGGCCTGAAACATACCAAATCAAAAGATGTTATTGTTATAAATTCAATAAGCAAAATGATACCAAGAGTTAAAAGAGAATTTGCAGAGAAAAAAACCAATACTTTACAGTAGAACAACAAACCTCTTCAGCAGTTGGCCGGTCTTTTGGATCAAAGGCAAGCAACCTTTGCAGTAGGCGTAGGGCCAATGGATCTGCATTTGGAAATTTTTGTTCAAAAGGAACTGGTTGCTTTTTTCTCATGCTTGTTAAGTATCTTCTTGCCTTCTCATTTCGAACCTGTGAACAAGAAAAAGAAGTTAACAGCAGTCATGTCTTGAGGATCCAAAAACAGCTCAGAAGTCTTAAATATGCGTACCCAAGAGATGGTATCTAACGAGGGTGTACCAAGCAAATCAGTTATCAAATCCAGCTGGTGAACAACATTTTTCCCAGGAAAAAGTGGCTTCCCAGTTAATACCTCAGCAAAGATGCACCCTATACTCCATATATCAATTGCAGGTGTATACTGCATTAACTTTAAGTAATAAGAAAAGGAACCAGAAATTGGACAATGAACAGAAAAGCCATCATGCAGCATCAATTTGAAGTAATAAGAACACGGATAAAAAATTGAGGAAAATGAACAGAAAACAATCATGCAGCATCCATTCGAGGTAATAAGAACATGAATCAAAAATTGGAAAATGAACCGAAAACCATCATGCAACCACTTGATCTGCTATGTTGCTAACATGGGATAGGATTTATAGGATGAAGGATACATCTGCACCATAACTCACATGCTTAGTTGCTATTAATATGGTCTCTTAATTATTTTCTAATACTATATTTGAGGTTCATAGAATCATATGGATAGAGTACATGTGCACTTTTAGGATTTCTTCAATGAAAATTTTCCATTTAAATCCCTACTACACGTCTGAATGTGTTGTTCCATAAACAAGTCTTTATTGTGTAAATTATGAACAGCATCATTTCAAAAACACTTGAATTCATTAAGAATCAAAAGTATGAAATTAAAAGTCACTAGTACAGGCAAAAACAATTCTTGAGTTTAGGAAAAATTCATAAATTCAATATTAAAACTACCATAGATACCTTGGATCATTCTTTTAGGTTTAGTGCATTCAGCCAGACAAAAAGCAAATTATTTCATGATATAAATTGCTACAGTAGCCACATGTTAAGAAATTATTGTTAACCTAATAATTCACCTACAAACATTTTAGAGAGAACTTATGCACTAGACTACGTATCTGTTAGAATAGCCACACTTTTAAATTTAATAGCTTGATCCTAATGAAAGAAATAAGAAGATACGATATAGATACAAAACTCAATAACTTGAATGAAGATTGTAAGCACCAAAGAATGGGCTAAGCTTTACATCATAAAATGCAACATAGATCTAGAAGATATTTTCATTCAATATAAGCTCATAAAAGGGAATAAATACATCACATGATTTTAAGTTTGCAGTGTTCCATACTTCAATGGCTATACAAGAGGACCCCTTTACCTTAGAGAAAAAGGATCCACAAAGCTCTGGAGCTCTATACCATCTTGTAGCAACATAATCCTGTAAATGTACCACAAAATGTCTACAGAAATCAGCTCTTGTTATTGTGATGGACGTAGAGAACAGTTAATATATGAAAACATTAAAGAAAAGTTGTCCTAAAACAGCATACCGTCCAGAATATTGTCGTAGGTGTATCATTGAATGCAACTCTAGCTAAACCGAAATCACATATCTTAAGTTTGCAGTTTGCATTTGCCAAAATATTCTTTGGTTTTAAATCTCGATGGTAGACATTTGCTGCAGCCAAATAGGCAAATATCAGACACATTCTGCACTCTACATATATATCTACCCCATCCATAACGCATTACATCAGGGTGATGTGACAAAAAGAATACAGAAAAACAAAACAAAACGAAAAAAGAAAAAAATAGACAGATACTTGAGCGTAAGGCATGCTAATAGAAGCAGTTGCTACCAAAGATGAGTACAACTGAAAGGATTAGCTGAAAATTGAAAACAGACTGTGGAAACTTTAAATTAATTGGACTAGAGAAAAATGTTTACAAGAAAAATGTTTGCCAAATATTATGGCATAATGGGGCAAGTTTGATACAAACAAACCGTGTTTACCATTAAAATAGTCCGACATGACAAACCTTATTTCTGACAACTTTAGATATCACCTATAATTATCAAAATTGATCAATCCAATCAACGCACTTATAGCTATAAACCAAGTACAAGTCTCAGATAATGCAGCGGAACCAATAAAGAGTGACAATTACCAGTATGAATATACTTCAGTGCACGAAGTAGCTGGTAAAGAAAAAACTGGTAGTGTTCTCTAGTCAAATCATCATTAGCTTTAATAACTTGATGAAGATCTGACTCCATGAGCTCAAAAACAACATAAATATCCTTGAAGTCTCTTCGCGAAGGAGGCAGCATAATGTGTTTAATCTCAACAATATCAGGATGCCGAAGAAGTCTGAGCAGCTTTATCTCGCGAAGAATTCGGGCAGCATCAGAAACATGCTCAAAAATATCATGTATTTTCTTTATCGCCACTTTTTCACCAGTATGGGTGTCAATAGCTGAGCACACAACACCGTAACTTCCTTTTCCTATAACTTCTTGAATCTTATATTTATTCGCATCACCATATTCAGTGAAAAAATCCATCTCTGTTGAACTCTGTGGCACAAAATTGCAAGTAAGACAAGAATGCCAAGCATATTTTTAATACACGCAAGGCTTGTGCAGCTCAATGTAGCAAAATCTCAATACATATCACCATGTAAATACATGCATATGTTGAACCATTCAAATTCATTACTAATGAAAATACCCCCTTTTGAATGGAAACAAAGATCATACAAATGTAGCCATTAACAACAAACAGAAAAAGGACAAAAAGAAAAACCAAAAAACAAGGCAATGGCATCGATAAAATAAACAATTTTAATTCATCAGTGCATGCTGTATGTACACGAAACATTCAAAACCAATTAACTCCCAACAGCCAGCCTACAATTTTCTTATTTTCAATAACTATATAATCATTCAGACTTTAAATAAGCAGTGGCTTTTGAAATTGCTGAGGCAACTAATCTTCAAGACAAAAAAAAAAAAAAGACAACAAAATTTTAGAAATAAAAAAAAAAAAATTCATAAGGGCAGGATAATATTATTCTTTTCTAAATAATCAAAGTTTCAGACTGCCAGCTTAGCCAGCAGAATCCAATTCCCTACTTTCAGCATATATTATGCACCACCCAGAAAATCAAAGCCTGAAAGATTTATAAGCTTTAGAGAGGAAGATGCTGGAAAACTGAACTATTTGAAAAAAGAAAGGAGAAGAAATTTGGGAAGCAAAAACAAACTGACTTTCAGGAGGAAAAAAAAAGTCTTTCGATTAATTCAAGGGACCAAATGAGATCCAAGAGGAGCGAAAAAGCATTTATTTCAAGGGACAGCATTCCAGAAAAAGAATGAAGCTCACTCATCCAAATCAAAATTTGTATTAAATTTATGCTGTTTATCTCGAAACGCATCACGAGAAGAAATTTAATAGCCTCAGCATTACTTAATTCAAGCCACGAAGAAAATATCTAAAAAAAAAACTCATTCAGACAAAATATCTCCAACATCTTCCACAGAACAAAACACGCACAACAATCCCATATTCCATGTTCTTACATAACTACCCAACATCATCACTCAACAGCTCAATGCTTTTTCATTAATCAGAACTATTATTTTATCATCAATCAATCCGTAATAAAGATGAAGAAAATAAACACCCAAATAATAGAAAAAAGTGATTGAAAAATCACCTTCTTTCGGTGATCTTGCTGCATTTTGTGAAAAAAAAATCCAAATTTAATCCCAATGAACAGAAAAGAAGCAGTTGAATATACAAAGTGAAGAAATCTAAGAAATCAACCACATTTGCCCCATCTCCCCCGACTCCGGATCACAAGTCCATAATCCCACTGATTTCTCCAACATAAAAAAATCCAAACTAAATCCTTCATACAATCTTTTCCTTCTTGCTTTTTTTTTTTCTTTACCACAGCAATTTTGATTCAACTACCATAACAAAGCAGCTCCCAAATACACTCTTTGTTAACAACTCTTCTGCCATTTTTTTTCCTTCTTCTTTTTCCTTTCCCTTCAAGTCCTCATAAACTTAACTAAAAACCCAAAACACTCCTCCTTTTCCCTTCTTGAAACAAGACCCAAAATTATTGAAAATAAATATATTTTTTAGAAAAAAAAACAAAGTGAAACGTCCTTATGAAGAGTGTAGAAACTGCAAGATCTGAACACCGACGGAAAGGAAAGAAAAAGAGAAAAAGAAAAGAAAACTATTATTATTAATAGAGGTTTTTATTCTTTAAGGCATGAATCTAGGGATATATAGAGAACAGAGTGGCTTGTTGCTTATCCGATGCCGTATTTTTATACGTATTTGGAGTGTATTAGGATATCGTGGTGGCAGATGCTGTAAATATAGTCTGGTTTGAGGAGTTTTTGCTTTGGTAGGTGAGAGCATTAGCGTAGATTTGAGCGGAAGGTTCCAAGGTTCTGTTTGGGGATTCCATTTTTTACCTTTTTTTTTTTTTAATTTTTTATTCAATTTGATGTGTTAGCGTATCGGTGCCGCTTTGTATATGTGCGAGAATTTTTAACACGTCATTTTTCCACGTGGCAATTATGAGATAGAGACCACCTAGAAGAGGGGCAATTAGCATCGTAGATTCTTGTTCACGCGGCAAGGTATGAAGAAATCATCATGGTGTACCTTAAACATCGTATTTAAAATCCAAGGGCCGTAGTTGAAGAGTCTCATCATTTTCCGAAATCGATATTGAAATGGATAAATCACTGACAGAATAGTACATTCTCTGAAATCATGTAAAATATTTAATTTAAATTAATTAATAATAAATAAAAGAGTTTACTTTAATTAATATAAAATCATAAAATATTTAATATTTAACACAAACATTACTTCAAAAAGGTCATAAGAATGAAAAATTATCAGCATTTTTTATATTTTTTAAATGAAATTAATTCATGTTTTGCTAGTATTAATTTCTTTCATTGTCAATAACACTTGAAGTAACTTTTCAAAATTTATTACTAATTTAAGGTGGTTCATAATTTTTTTAAACAAAAAATTGTTTTTACTTTTACATATAGGAATTCGTTGAGCTTTGCATTACATAAAAGATTCTGCACTCAACTAGAAGATATCTGTACTCGTAACAAAAAGCCATGCGTTACCCAAACAAAATAGCTTTTTCACTTCCGCATGCAAGGGAGACAAAACACCAGCGAGTGCTATTATGGCACTTAGCATAACTGATCCATTTGTATATTTCACCACCAACACTACTCCTTCCATCAAATTTTGCTTATTCATATATTTAATCCATAAATGATTGGTTCAATTAATTAAAATTAATTTTTTTTATAAAAAAAATTTTAAATTCAAATTCTGTCGATAATTATTTCTTAAAGTCATCTCGAATATATAATTTACAATCACTTATCTTAAATTATTAAATACAACATATTTTATCCTAACTTAAAGATTGAATAATCAATTTATTATTAAATTTTTTTTATTAATATTCACTTATAATAGATATAAAAATTTATCGATAAATTTATCAATTTAAAATATTCATTGAAAAAATTTGAAAGTATTGAGCAAAATTTTTTTTCAAGTTTTTTTATTTTTTAATTTTAAGAATTTCTATAAACATTGTAACTCATAAGATAGATCTGCCACTTATCCTATACTTTACAAATTGGAAAAAAAAAAGAAAAAGAAAGAACTATTTTGTTGTTTACACGGGAAAACTTTCTATTTTCAAACATTAAATAACATGTGCATCATGTGATAAATGATGGTAGGGTCGGTGGTTCTATGTACCTGACACTCGGTTTCTATATTCTTGTTCTTGTGAAACTCGGTGAGATTTAATATTTTAATTACAAGTAACTTAGAATTTACCACGTCGGCAAACTAACAATTACTTGTTTATGTTAATAAAGTATTAATTCACATGTCATATAAGGTCATTGATTTTTGTTTAGATGACGTGTATGTGGTCAAGCTCTTGAATGTTGCTAATTTGAGAGGATTTCGATGTATAAATTTTTTATGTAAATTAAATAAATAAAATTTAAAAAATTAAAAATAAATTAAAACTTTAAATAAAAATAATTATTTATATTTGTACAAAAATAAATAAATACTAACAGAATAAATTATCAAAAAAATTATTCAATTTCATTTAATGTAACTTTTCAAATTTAAAAATATAGTTTGCAAACTTAAACTAAAAAACATAAGAGGTCCTTTTTGCATTCAAATGTAATTTTTGTGAGTAAATAATTTTATTATTTTCATATCTGTAAGCTCTTATTATTATTATATATATTTTTTATATTACAATTTATCACAATATTTATTTATAATAATACTAGACGTTTAAATATTTTGAATATATTTTTCTCATCACACTTTTAAAACATCCTTTTCAAACCTTAGATTTTTTCTACTGTAAGAGCAATAAACTAGCTCTTAGTTGATGGTATTCTTTTTTTTTTTTTTTGTTATAAAGCATAAAGATAACTAGAAAGTAAAATTATAATTAACTAAAGATAGTAAAATGCACAAATACTTAAAATGTAACATAAAATAATTATTTTATATAAAAATAAAATTATTTTATATTTTATTTATAATCTTTTGAAAGTATATACTGTTTGTTTTCATCCAAACTTTTTTTTTTTTTTTTTGCAAATGTAAAAAAAAAAGCAAGTAATAAAAGTAATACAAAAAAGAAATAATTAAAAAAATAGCTTTCCAAAGAAGTTTAATAATGTAGTCGGTGCCTGAAAATCACCCACACAAGAAACATTGTTGTTAACTTGGACGTTTCATCCAACCTCAATTGATTTTATTAATCAGTTATATAATTTTTTTTTAATCTTTTGTTAATAGGAAGAGGGGATCTATTTTATAGTATTAAATTAATAATGTCGGCAAAGATTGTAATAATATTATTGACTTCTACCTAGACTCGTGATTTTCATAATACTCTTTTGTCTTAAATTATTCAAATGTTATTGATTTTTATGAAATTTTAAAAGTGATTTAATATTAATATTAATTTCAAATTTTGTATAAAATTAAGGTTTTATAATTTTTAATGTCAGAAAGTTAAAAAAATTATAAAAATTAATTTTAAGATATTTTTTAAATGTTAAAAAATTATGAAAATAAAAATAAAACAAAAAGGGTAAGAGGAAAATAAAATAAATCCTTAATTCATGCATCAAGATAGAAAATTGTATTTTTAATAAAAAAAATTGATCCAAACAAAATTTGGTATACTTTTCATTGAATAATAATAATAATAATTTATATTTGTTAAGAAAGTTGAGGTTAGAGATTTGGGGTTCATTAGATCCTCAGTTGATGTCAGTACAACGCATTTGATACATTCAATCGTAGTGATAATCCATTTGAATCACCAAACTTTTTCATATTGTAATTGTTTTCATTGCATCGCAAGTTTAATTTTATTGTTATAATATTTAATTTCATCATTATAATAATTAATTTTATGGTTATCATAATTTTAAAATTTAAGAAAGGGATTGATTCGGTTCGAATATAAGCATTCATGTCTTCTCAAGGGTTTTTTCTTTTTTTTTTTTTAGCTAGGCCTAGAAGTGACCCTTTTTTTTTTAAGTTTTTGGTAAAAATTAATTATTAAATTTTTAATACTAAATTTTATAAACATTGAATTTGTATTACAAAAACTAATTGATATGCACTAAAAAATTATGTGCTGACTGTAATAACTATAAATGTTTAATTTTAAAAATCAATAGTTTTGAATAAAACTTAAAAGAGATAGTTTAATTTAAATATAATTTTTTTTAAAAATTGACTGAATATATTTTGCATTAAGTGATAAGTTGCTCTTTATCTATTTATTCTATTAACTATTTTTGGTTGAAAATTTTCTATTAAGTAGCATTTAATATGAGTTAACAAACTTATTGAAAAAATTAAACTGTTGAAAATTTTTTTAATGAATTGAAAATTTTCAATGCATTATCTAGACTTTTACTAAAAAAATGCTAAGTATTCAAATTGTAGTGATAATTTGATTGAAAGAAGGTAACTATTAATGAAGAAATGGTTGACCCTTTCTTAATTATTGATATTATCATCCATTGACGTTTGAAAAATTTTACATTAACAAAAACTAATGAAATAACTGAGATTCTAAATGGAATTTTTTTATCCAAATAATGAAAAATATGTGTATTTTTAAATAAAATATGGTGAAATTAAGTATCCTTAATTCAAATATCAAGAATGAATAATGAGGTGCCAATACACATTGATTTTTATTCAAGGAAAGTTTCTTGTTATACAATATTCTTATTTCACATCAGTATTAAAATTAATATTCATATGTACATCACAGCAGCATAAGACAATTGATTATAATTTAAACATTTTTATCATAAATCAATTATCTTATTTCTATTTTTATATACTTATATTTTCTTTTATCTCATTTCTTAAAAACAAGAAAAATATATATACTTTTTTCGTCACTTTTAAGAGTATAATCGATCGAGTTCGAGTCGATACAGTATTAAGTTCGAGCTTAAACTTGATTCAAAATTTGAAATTCGAAACTCAACTCGAATTTGATCAAATTTTATTTTTCTAGCTTGCACTTCGTTTGAAATAAAAATCGAATTACTCGAATTTGCTCGATTCTTATATTCGATAAAAATTTGATTATTTGTGTTCGAGCTCGAGTTCATGTTCAAAATATTTTATTAATTAAAATAATAAAAATATATTTAAATATAAAAATTTGATTAGGTTCGCAAACTACTTGATAATAATCGAACTGAATTTAAGTTTTATTCGAATTGAATACGAATAGCTTGTGAATATTAATATATCATTTATATCCCTAATCACCTTACGGAACAAAAAAAAGAAATATTTTATTTCTATTTATAGATAATTAAAATTATACAAAAATGTAATAAACTAATAAAATTATATAAAAAATATATAAAGTAATAAATATGGAATCTTATTATAATATAATAAAGTGATCAATTTGATCATTTTCTCATTCATTTGACTTGTTGTTTAACTTTTATAATCAGTATTTCAATATTGTTTCACAATCTTTTTCTTTTTTGCTTTCTAGTCCAATGGTAGAATACACAAGGGTCCCACTCCTTGTACCTATAAACTCCTAAATTACAGGATTAGTCACTAAATTATACCTAATTTCTCAAATGATAACTTAATTTTAATTCGTAGCAATAAAATTATTGAAATTGGTTAAACGTATTAAATTTAATCACTTTAACAAATTTTATTCAAATCTTTAATAAAAAAATGACATCCCAACCAC